GATGTATCCTCCCACAGATGAGGAATCCTCCTTCTCAGAAGCCCACGTAGCATCGGTAAAGCAAGTGAGAAATAGCTTGCCTTCTCCAAGCCTCTCCCCCTTCTCTTTCAGCACCTCCACCCCTTTCTGCTTCACCTGTGCAGATGCGGAGTATTGAACTCCAATGCTTGGGTGAGAGTTCAGGTACTTCACCACACGCTCAGCTGCATCCACCTGCTCCTCTGATGGATTCTGCACCACCCTAGCCAGCTGCCCAACTGAGAAAGAGATGTCGGGCCTCGTGTGAACTGCTGCGTACAAGAGGCTGCCCACCAAGGACTGAAATTGCTGCTGCTCTTCAGCTTCAACCCCTTCATCCTCTGCAGCCTTCACAAGCTTGAATTCTGCTGGCAGGGGAGTTGCAACCTTGCGCTCATTCTCAATCCCATACTTCTCCCCCAGCTCCTTGATGAACTTCTCCTGGTGCAGCTTCAACCACCTGTGATCTGGATCCCTCTCCACGTGCATCCCGAGGTAGTACTTTACCTCCCCAAGGTTCTTGCACTTGAAGTTTTCCATCAGTTGCTGCTGCACTTTCTGGATCTCCTTCATGCTGCTGCTGAAGAGAAGAATGTCGTCCACATAGACCAGAAACAGCACCAGCTTCTCCCCTTCGAGAAAGAGGCTCTCATCACAGCTGCTGGTCCTGAATCCCATCTCCTCTAAAACAGCTGCCAACTTCTGGTACCAGCAGCGTGGCGCCTGCTTCAAGCCGTAGATGGACTTGTTCAGCTTGCACACCCTGCCCGTACCATCCTCATACCCAGGCGGCTGCGTCATGTACACATCCTCCTCTAAAATCCCATTCAGGAATGCCGTTGAAATATCCATCTGAATGATGAATTTCCCACTAACAGCTGCATCTGCCAACAAGACACGGAGGGTAGGGGGTTTGGCAGTGGGAGCAAAGATCTCGTTGAAGTCCTGCTTCTCCTTCTGCATAAACCCCTTCGCCACCAGCCTACTCTTGTAGATGGTGACCTGCCCCTTGTCATCGGTCTTGATCCTCAGCACCCACTTGCATTGTATCGCTTTCTTCCCATCAGGCAGCACCACCAGATCCCATGTCCTATTCTCCAGCAGACTCTGGTACTCAGCATCCCTAGAAGCCAGCCACTTGTCCCTATCTGGTCCAGCTAATGCCTCTTCCATGCTAGCTGGTTCCTCTGGTGCAGGGGCAAGAAAACAGTACGCAGGCTCATCCTCCTCATCCGGGTCATAGCCATGAGGTAGAATCAGCAATGCCTCTTCGGTCCCTAGCTGCTGCTCTGCTGCATCAGTTCCTGCAATCAGCTTCTTAGTAGCCATACGGGTACGTCCTGGCCTGGAGACGGGTGTCTCCCATCCCTTCATAACGACACCCTTCGGCTTCTTAGTTTTTCCCTGCTGCTTCTCTCCTCCCTCGGGTCCAGCAGCTCCACTAGTGCTGCCGCCAGTTTCCACACCATTTTCTCCACCAGCAGATGCCTCCTGTACCTTCTCTCCATCACCATTTCCAGCAGCTGCCTCCTCTCCCTCCTCCCACACACTAGGAGTCAGGTCCAGCTGCATGGTGATCTGCTCCATCTGCTGGGACACCCTTGCCTCCGGCTGTTTCTCCCAGCTCCCATACATCATGCCCTCAATGAATTTCACATCCCTGCTGTCAAACAACACACCCTTGGATGGTTCCCACAGCAGCCATCCCTTGCTCTCAGCAGCCAGCCCCAAATGCACACACCAGATTGCACTCGCCCCCAACTTACTGCGGTAGGTCTTGGGGACGTGGGCGACTGCCATGCAGCCAAACACCCTCAGCATATCCACCGGCGGCTTCCTCCCAAGCCACCTCTCCAACGGCACCCACGAGTCATCCCCAACCTTGGTGAGCACCCTGTTCCTAGCGACAGTGGCGTGCCGGACAGCATGAGGCCACATAGAATTGCTCAGCCCAGATTCTATGAGCAGCGCCCTAGCTGTCTCCAGAATGGTCCGGTTTGCCCGTTCTGCTACACCATTGGACTGTGGGGTATAAGCCGTGGTCAGCTCTCTCTGGATGCCCTGCTTCTTGAGCCAGGCCGTCATTTCAGCTCCAAGGAACTCACCACCCCGGTCTGTCCTAATCCGCTTCACTACACACTCCGCCTGCTTCTCCACGAATGGCAGCCAATCGTCCCGTATCGTGGAGGCGGCGTGGTCCTTCTGCTTCAGCGGATACGCCCACATCAGCCTGCTCCAGTCATCCACAATTGTAAGAAAATACCGCTCCCCCTTGTGCCCTTGCACCGGCAGCGGCCCCACCAAGTCCATGTGGACCAGCTCCAAAGGCTTCTTGCTCCTGCCAGCCACACTATGGAAAGGGAAACGGGTGAACTTTGAAAGCAAACAGATTTCACAGTTGTCATCGGGTGGCTGTCCGTTCAGCTTCAGACCCTTAACGGCTCCGTCCTTCTCCAGCTGCTTCAGCAAAGGCATTGCCACATGCCCTAAGCGCCGGTGTGCCGTTGCCCAATCTGTCTCCCCAGATCTGGCCGACACTTTCACACCAACCCCTCCAACGGCATTGCACTCCCCCTGGGATGCAGACCCCTCTCCAGCCTGCCCCCCACCATGCCACGCCAGGGCCGGCAGCTGCCACATAGATCTGTACACGTCCTTGCTCTCGTGCAGATCCCAAAGCACCCGATTGCCCAGCTTCCCCTTATAAGTGCGTGCCCCATCCGTGTTGGTATTCACCCCAGCCTTGCCAAGCTTACGGAGGGAGATAAGGTTGGCCTTCAGGTCGGGGACGAAGAGAACGTCGTGCAGCACCACCGGCTTGCCATCCGCTCCCTTAAACGCAGCTCGTCCCGCACCAGCCACCTTCAACATGTGTCCAGAGGCGGAGCACACTTCATTGATCGGTGCAGCTCGTACTTCGTCCAGCAGGTCCTTGCGCGGCGTCATCGTCCAAGCAGCGCCTGTGTCCAACACCCAATAGTCTAGGGGGTGCAGCTCTTCTCCAACTTTGGCAGAGGCGTCTCCTTGCTCCCCCTTGTCTCCCACATGGAAGAATTGGCCCGCGGTGCGCTCCTTCTTCTTCTCCGCACCGCCGTTGCCCTTCGGGTTGTTGTCGGACGAATCAGCGACCATGTTGGCGCCGTTTTTCTGGTTCCTCCGCGCGCCGCCATCCTGGTGACGATTCTGGGGGGTCCATCCATCGGGTTTCTTATAGCACAAAAACCAGGGGTGCCCTTCCTTCTCACAATACCAGCAACTCCCTTTCATTTTGCCACCAGCACCCGACTTGCCCCCACGTCCAGATTTCGCACCGCGACCCCAACCGGTACCTCCTTGTTGGTCGTTGGAGTCGTCGTCTTTCTTTGCACCGCGTCCAGCACCACCGAAGCCACGTCCTCTGCCACGTCGGCTCCCTTGCATCCCGTAGCCGCTGCTGCCGTCGTCTCCACCCCTCAGTTGGCGGCGACGGAAGTCCTCCTCCAGAATCTTCGTCCGCACCCACTCGAGCGTCCACAAGCTCTGGTTCTGCGGCAGGCTCAATCCGCTCGTAAATTGAAGCCACGATTCTGGCAGCAGCGAGAGCATCTTCAAGCACTTGGTCTGCTCCGGGTAGGTGATTCCCGCGGTCGCCAACTTCGCGTAGAGGTCGCGCATCTTGTCCAGGACTGGTTGCACCGGCTCTCCCTCGCTCAGGCGCAACGCGGACAGCTCCCTCTCCAGCATCAACGTTGCGACAACGGAGGTCGGGGCGTGCAGCTCCTTCAACACGGTCCACGCCTTCGGACCGCATTCAACCTCCGGCAGCAGGTGCATGACGTGGTGACGCTGGTTCAGCTCCAAACTCTGCGACATCAAATAGTAGCCAGCCGAGGAGCGCTCGTCCCAATCTTCCTGCAGCGTGGGGTCACTCGGTCTAGGCTCCTCCCCAATCATTAGTTTCAGCAAACCGATCTGACGGAAATATAATTGCATTTTCCAGGCCCAATCATCATAGCCCTCACCATTGAACTTCTCGACGGTGAAATTCTTCAGCACCTCCTTGACAAGCGAGCCCTGGTTTGTTCGCGCTCCCCTTGGCGCTGAAAGACCAGAATCTTGGCTGCCGCTACGATCTTGGGCTGAAGATTCACCAGCTCCCGCCGAGGTGTTGCCCGCCATAGCTACCTATAACGAGGATCACTATAACGCAGCTCTGATACCAGCTTGTTGGTGTAAGGGCCTAATAAACTCAAGCTATTAGGACTTAACCAAACTTAAAACCTCTCCTCGGGGTCACCTCCAAGGGTCCCTGGGTGCCTGGTACAAGACCAGCCCCTATCCTCGGGTCCGAGTTTGTAGAGAGAGGGATCAAGAAGGACTTAGTCAAAACAGCAAGAGTACCTTGAACGTCGCGCAGCGTGCCGTGCAGACCGTCGGTCGGATTAAGCTGAGAATTCGCTATATCGAAGCTCGCTCCAAGAGCTTTAAAATGAGCCAAGTTGCCTCGCGAAAAGTTCTGCCATTACTAAGTTCTGGCTCGGACAGCGTTTGCCTAGCGTTGGAGTGCTAGCATACTAGTGTTGACTCGGGTAGCATTCCGCCGTCGAATAGCGCAGAAACGAAATTCCAGCGAGGAAGGAATTCGCTTGAATCAATTTGACTATATCCAGGTACAAACAGAGAAGGACTAAATAGTTCTAGCTAGCAAGGACCTTGGGAATCAACCTGGGAACAACCAGGGATGATCCCAAATAATTCCAAGCAACAGAACCAACCTGGCTGGACAAAATAGCAGGTGGTAGGTTGGTAAACAACCTCTGGTTCTGTTTTTCCAACCTGGGAAAACAACAACCAGGTTCAGGTTCTAAAAACAGAACCTGTTTTGTCTTTGCCCAACCAGCCAAATGCTGGTTCCGCTGGTTTCCCCTGGCCTTGTAGCATGCAGATACAGACAAACAACATCCAACCTTCACCTAAATTGTACCCCTATAGTGCCTTCCCTGCTACACTATAGTTAACCAAACAAAACAGTACAATTTCGAGTTGGATAGAACTGAATCTGCGCAATCAACTCAACCGAACTGCAAAGCTTCCATCTTGGGTTCCTTTGCGAGCTCGTCCTTTCTGCTTGCACTGTTCATAGCGCGTACAATGTTGTGCCGAAGCGCACATTGCGCGAGTACCTGCAAATGCATCAAGCGAAAAATGCGAAAGCAAACAAACACACGAACACACCATTCACACGCAAATGCATTCGCACACGCATACTCGTACAAACAGACGGCAGGATGTCGTGCAATGTGCATTTGCACCCAACAGTCCTCAGCTCCAGCAGCAGCTCCACCAGGCGGGTCCGCAGCACCAGCAGCAGCGCCACCCCCAGAGTCGGCAGCTCCAACTCCGCTAGCACCGCCAGCGCCAGAGTCCCCAGCTCCAGCAGCTCCAGTCGCAGTGCTCCCAGAACAACCAGTCCCGGTAGCTCCAGTACCCCCAGTACGAGCACCCCCAGGACGAGCAGCCCCAGCACCCCCAACTCCAGCCGAGCCACTAGGACGGCGAAAGCGCCGGACGTACCAGTCACGAAGCTGCTGCGGTGTGAGAGACTGCTCAGCACCCCCAGACGCAGTAACCCGAGGCTCCGTAGGCTCAGTAGCAGCACCCCCAGGCTCAGTACCCGCAGGCTCAGTACCCGCAGGCTCAGCACCCCCAGGCTCAGCACCCCCAGGCGGCAAACTCTCAGGCACAGTACCCTCAGCTCCAGCACCCGTAGTCCCAGCACTCCCAGGCCCCGCACCCGCAGGCTCAGCACCCCCAGGCTCAGCACCCCCAGGCTCCGTACTCTCAGGCACCGTACCCTCAGCTCCAGCACCCTCAGTCCCAGCACCCGCAGCCCCAGCACCCCCAGGCCCAGCACCCCCAGGCTCAGCACCCCCAGGCTCAGCACGCCCAGCAGCACCACCCGCAGCAGCACCTGAGTCACCTGTGACCTCGACAGGCTCAGCGACGGGAGGAGGGTCTACCTGAGAGACACCTGAAGGAGCAGGACCCTGAGGGGGAAGGGGGTCTACCGGAGGGGGACCAGGAGCAAGGAAAAGTGGCGGGGGAGGGAGGGGGGCAGTGCGGTAGGGGAAGAGACGGTAAAAAGGGACCGACTCGTCAAAGGTGACATCCTGAGAGGCGAAGACCCGGCGCGAGGTGGGGTGGTAAAACTGCCAGCCAGGCGCGTCAGGGACAAAGCCAAGGAAGACACAGGGAAGCGTGCGGGAGGAGAGCTTGTCCGTGGACGTATCGCGGACAAGGGCACGAGCACCCCACACCCGGAAGCGCGACGCATCGCCAACCTCCCCCGTCCAACGCAGTGTGGGCGACGTCTCCGGCAAGGAGACACGGGGCCAGAGGTTGAGCTGATGCGCGGCGTACCGGACAGCAAACGGCCACAGAAAATGGGGAGCCGCCGCGTGGACCAAGGAGGTACGAGCGACCTCCATGACCAGGCCAATGCGGCGCTCAGCAACCCCATTCTGCTGTGGGGAGTCCGGAAGCGTGAAGGTCTGCTCGATGCCCTCCGCCTGACAGAAGGTCCTCAAGAGATCGGAGGAAAACTCACCACCTCTGTCAGAGTGCAGACGCAGGACAGGAAGATCCGTCCGGAAACGGCGGCGGAGCTGGAGACGAACCGTGCGGATCCAAGGGATCAGAACAGCAGGGACCTCACCCTTGGTGCGCAAGGGGAAGACCGTGGTGTAACGCGAGTAGTCGTCGACAACCAGCAAAAAATACCGCTCACCGCCCTGACCACGAACGCGGGCTGGGCCCCACACGTCCAGGTGGAGGGTCTGCAGAGGAGCCTCTGTCGGGGGGAACGAGGAGGAGTGAGGAGCGGCGCGCTGCCGCCCCTCGACGCAAGGAAGGCAAGGCGGCGCAGGCGAGGCAGGGAGGGGAGGGAGGGACCTGGGAAGACCAGACACAAGGTGGCGACGGTGCATGCCACGAAGGCGTGGCAAGGAGGGGTGACCCAGGCGGTGGTGCCAGAGAAGAGTCTGGTGCGACAGGGAACGACACTCACAGGCGTGGGCTACCAGACCTGACGCAGACACCTGACCGACAGCAGCGACCTGAGGAGACGCAGTGGTCAGTGTGTAGAGACTCGACCCCGGCCGACGGGTAAACGTAGCCAGGTGACGGCCGGTCCTGGAGCACGTGCAGATCGCCACACGCTGTCCTCCAGGGGTAAAGGTGTCAACCCACTGATCCTGGAGGACAGCGTTGCTCACCAGGTTCGTCGAGAACGAGGGGAGGTGGAAACCCGACAACGAGCCAGACGGAACCGCCGGACAAGGGAGGACAGTGGTGGACTGGGCAAGGACTGGGCCCCCAGAGGGGTCAGCCAAGGAGACTGGGACCGGTGCAGGAAGCGGTGTGAGCTCAGTACTGTCACGAAAGAAGCAACGGGAAGCACCTGAGTCAAGGGTGAAGGTGTGACAGGCCTCAGCCGGTGCGGTACCTGAGAGAGCAGTCTCTGTGAGTGCTGTACCTGAGAGAGCAGACTCGAAACCAGCCGGGACAGTACTGGAGGGAGCAAGTACAGGGGGCACCATACCAGAGAGAGCAGACTCACTAGTACCCAGGGCAGCGGGCTCTATACCTGGGTCAGGCGGCACACACAAGTAACAGTCTCCCTCGGCACTAACAGTCAATGCATACATGGCAGCAATAATAGCATCATAGTCAAGAGCAAAGACATCAACCCCAGCCCTCATGAGCTCAGCCCAGCGGGGGCGCTCAACATCCGCACCCATCTCCTCACGCCAAGCGTCGTCAAGGCGGGAGAAGCAGCGGTACGGGGTGTGGAACCTCCCACACGTCTGTCCCTTGCGGTCACCTGTGCGAATGACATAGGAACAGCGGCCACTGCCCCCCGACGTCCCACGCTGAGCAAGCCACTCACGAAGCTGCTGGGTCGTCTGGGGACGCTGCTGCTGCTGGGAGCTCTGGCCCGAGCCAGTGCCTCCACTCCGACCTCCGCCGCCACCACTACCACCGCTCCGACCGCCACCGCCACCACCGCCACCACCGCCACCGCCGCCACCGCCGCCGCCACCGCCACCGCCGCCGCCACCGCCGCCGCCGCCACTACTGCCACTGCTTCCTCCGCCGCCCCCGCCTCCACCACCGACCCCACTCCCACCAGCGCTCCCGCCACCGCTCCCTCCAGCACCGCCTCCCCCCCCCCCCCCCCCACCTCCTCCCCCCCCAGCGCCACCACCACCACCCTTGCCCCCCTTGCCCTTGCCGGTGCGGCGCCTCCCACCAGGAGCAGAAGCAGCGCCAACAGACTCAGCACCAAGGAAGTCAACAGCAGCAGCAGCAGCGTAGGAGGGAGCGAGGGGAGAGGGAGAACACCCCTCAAAGATGGGGGTGCGAGGAGCGCCACGAGCAGCACCGACAGCTACAATGCTCTTTTCGGCCGCGAGCAGCTGCTCCTCTAGGAGGGCGACTGTGAGCTCAGTGGGACAGCGAGCAAGGAAGTGGTCTCGAACTGAGCGGAGGGTGTCAGGGAGACGGGTGACTATGAAGTGGCTTCCAGTACAGTGGAGGGGGGTTCTTAGCGCAGAACTCGGTGGGAAGGGCGGCACGTAGGCGAGCATCACTAGTGCGAAGGTGGGTGATAAGATCGGCGACTGTAGTAAAGGTGGACAGATCGGGGAACAGGTACGGCAGCATGAGGCGGCTAAGCTCGGCTGTGGCAGGCGAGGAGTAGCGAGCAACGACAGCATCGTACAGGGCCTTAGCGGATTTGCAGTCGCCAAAATGCTCGAGCTCAGCTAGCGGCAGGTGACTGCGAATGGCTAGGCGAGCAGCTGCGTCACGAGTCTGCCAGTGGGAACGAACACTAAGCTCAGCTGTGGCGGCAGGAGCAGCGGCAGCACCAGACGCGTAGTCATAGAGGGAGATGTGGTCCGTGCTATTGCTCATAAGATACAACTGCAGGTCGTCGAGCCAGGAAGTGAACTGCACGGGACGGCCCTCAGCATCGAAGGAGAGAACGCGAATAGAGGCCATAGCTCAGGCGTGAGGGCACAGCAGAGCAGCGGCAGCAGCAGAGGGGACGCGCTAGAGCGAAGCTAGCAGCCACAGCAGGAGCAAGCGGCGGTGCACAGGCAGGGAGCAGCAGGCGAGGAGCGCAGCGGGCGGGCTGCGAAGCGGGCAGCGGGGCGGGCGGGCGACGCAGCAAGCGGGCAGTGAGGCAGCGGGCGGCGCTGCGAAGCGGGCAGCGGGGCGAGCGGGCTGCGAAGCGGGCGGGCCGCGAAGCGGGCAGCGAGCGGGCGGGCGGGCTGCGAAGTGGGCGGGCCGCGAAGCGGGCAGCGGGGCGAGCGCGAAGCGGGCAGCGAGCTGGCGGGCGGGCTGCGTAGCGGGCGGGCCGCGAAGCGGGCAGCGAGCGGGCGGGCGGGCTGCGAAGCGGGCGGGCCGCGAAGCGGGCAGCGAGCGAGCGGGCCGCGAAGCGGGCAGCGAGCGGGCGGGCGGGCTGCGTAGCGGGCGGGCCGCGAAGCGGGCAGCGAGCGGGCGGGCTGCGAAGCGGGCGGGCCGCGAAGCGGGCAGCGAGCGAGCGGGCCGCGAAGCGGGCGGGCCGCGAAGCGGGCAGCTAGCGGGCGGGCGGGCTGCGAAGCGGGCAGCGGGACGAGCGGGCTGCGAGCGGGCGGCTCGGCGGGCGGGCGACACTGCGAGGGGCGCGCGAGGGCGCTAGTGAGGGGCGCGCGAGGGCGCTAGCAAGGGGCGCGCGAGGGCGCTAACGAGGGGCGCGCGAGGGCGCTAACGAGGGTGCGCGCGAGGGCGCTAACGAGGGGCGCGCGAGGGCGCTAACGAGGGCGCACGAGGGCGCTACGAGGCTAGGGCACGGGGTAGCGTGGTAACCGCATGCGAGCGGTGGTGGGCCCTAAAAAAAACGGTCGGTAGGTCCTAGGGACCTCCTGCTCTGAATACCATCTCAAGATAACTAGGCAAGAATGAAATGAACTAGCAGGAGTTTGGGTACAAATATGAAACCCTAGTTGGGGTTGTACCCCATATTGGCTACCCCACTACAGCCTACAAGCATAATAGAGTTTAACATAATATACCCATGTGGATGATACCAAGAGTAAGCGCGTTACTTACCTATGTGGATGGTACTAAGAGTAAGCGCGTTACTTACCCATGTGGATGGTTCTATAGGTTAAGGCGTTAGATACCCACGTGGATGGTACTAAGAGTAAGTGCTTTACTTCCATGTGGTTGGTACTAAGAGTAAGTGCGTTACTTACCCATGTGGATAGTACTAAGCGTAAGCGCATTACTCACCCACGTGGATTACACTATAAGTAAGCGCGTTACTTATCCATGTGGATGGCACTAAATGTAAGTGTGTTAACTTATCCGCGTGGATGATACTAAGAGTAAGCGCGTTACTTACCCATGTGGATGGTACTAAGCGTAAGCGTATTACATACCCATGTGGATGGTACTAAGAGTAAGTGTGTTACTTACCAAGTAAGTGGTACTAATAATAAGCGCGTTACCTACTCATGTCGACGGTGCTAACAGTAAGCTCGTTACTTACCCAACTGGATGGTACTAATAGTAAGCGCATAATATACCCATGTGGACAGTAATAAGATTAACCGTGTTACTTATGAGCATGGTACTAAGAGTACGCGTATTACTTAGCCATATGGATGGTACTAATAGTAAGCGCGTACTATATAGGAATGGTACTAAGAGTGGGCGCATTACTTACCCATGTGGATGGTACTAAGAGTAAGCGTGTTACTTACCCATCTGGATGGTACTGAGGGTAAGCTCGTAATTACCCATCTCGATGGCACTAAGAGTAAGTGCATAATATACCCATGTGGATGTTACTAAGAGTAAGTGCGTTACTTACCCATGCGGATGGTACTAAGAGTAGGCGCGTTACTTATCCACGTGGACGGTACTAAGAGTAAGGCATATTACACCTATGTGGATGGTATTAAGAGTAATCGCGTTACAAATCCATGTGGATGGTACTAAGAGTAAGTGTGTTAGTTACTCATGTCGATGGTACAATATCGCGTTACTTACCCACATGGATGATACTATGAGTATCCACTTTACTTACCCGTGGATATGGTACTAAGAGTAAGCGCCGTTACCTACCCGTGTGGATGGTACTAAGAGTAAGTGCGTTACTTACCCATCTGAATGGTACTAACGGTAGGCTCGTAATTACCTATCTGGATGGTACTTAGAGTAAGTGCATAATATATCCATATAGATGGTACTAAGAGTAAGTGCGTTACTTACCAATGTGGATGGTACTAAGAGAAAGCGCCTAATACACAAATGTGGATGGTACTAAGAGTAAGTGTGTTTCTTACCCGTGTGGATGGTACTATGAGTAAGCGCGTTCCTTACGATGTGGATGGTACCAAGAGTAAGCATGCTATTTTATACATGTGCATGGTACCAAGAGTATTTATCATGAGGATGGTACTAAGAGTAAGTGCATTACTTATCCATGTGGATTGTACTAACAGTAAGCGCGTAGGCATAGGCGTCGACCGAGACCGGCGTCTTCGGAGTCCGTCCGCCCTGCTCCTCGTCGATGAAGCGCCTACGCAGCTTGTCGGCGTAGCCCTGCTGGTGCAGCCACAGCTTCCCCGCCGACCTGTCGCGCACGATCTCCAGCCCGAGGTACTTCTGCACCGGCGAGATCTCGCGTAGCTCAAAGGCGGCCTCCAGCAGCTCCTTTAGCTCCTTCAGCATCGCAGGGCTGCTGCTGGCAGCGAGCAAGTCGTCGACGTAGACCAGCACCCAGCAAGTCGCTCCGTTGTCGCCGACCTTGAAGTAGAGGGCCTCGTCGACCTGGCTCTTCTTCCAGCCAGCGCCGACCAGCACGTCGTTGAGTGCCAAGTACCACAGCAGCGGCGACTGCTTCAGCCCATAGAGGCTCTTCAGCAGCTTACACACCCGGCCGCTCTCGTCGTTGAAGTAGTCCGGCTGGTACATGTAAAGCACCCGGTCGAGCTTGCTCTGCAGGAAGGCGTTCTTCATGTCGAGCTGCATCAGGTTCAGGTCGAGGACGACGACGATGCTGAGGAAGATCCTCAGCGTGACGTAGCTGCTCACCGGCGCGTACGTCTCATCGTAGTCGGCGCCGTACACCTGCGTGAAGCCCTTCACGACCAGCCTCGCCTTCTCGCGCTCGACGGTGTCGTCGATGCGGTACTTCGTCGTCAGCACCCACCGGTTCTTCATGATGTTCACGCCCGGCGGTCGTTCGACCAGCTCCCACGTGCAGTTGCTGATGAGGCTGCGGATCTCCTCCTCCATGGTGGCCTTCACCGCCGGGCCCTTCCAGCTTGCCAACGCCTCCTTCACCGTCATCGTGGAGATGTCCCAGCGGTGCTCGGGGTCGGCCAGCATGTCGGGGTCGAGCTCGGGAAAATCCTCATCCTCGTCGGCGTCGTCGTACAGCTTGTCGTCGTCCTCGTCGACCACGTCGTACACTGTGGTGAAGGCGGCCGGGATGAAGAAGTCGGGAGGCCTCCGAAGTCGACCTGTGCGCCGTGGTCCAGGCTGACCCTCGTCGGCGCCACCGTCGGCGTTCTCCTGGTCGCCCAACTGCTCCCCTTCATCTTCACCGCCGTCCTCGTCGTCCTGCTGCACCTCGGTCGGCGTCCCGACCGACTTTTCCCCTGCAGTCAGCTCCCCTGCCGACTGCCAGGTCGCCGACTGCTCCTTGGTCGGCCTTGCTGCTGCCTGCTTCCCGGTGGGCGGCTCCCAAGTCGGCTGCACCTCTTCGACCTGCTCCCCCCTTATCCAGGTCGACTGCACTCCCATGTCGACCTGCTGCTCGTCCTGTCGGCCACCGGCGATGCCCTTGGTCGGCGCCACAGGCGACGCCCCACTGCTCCCCTCATCGCCGGAGGCCGACGGCGGAGTCAGCCCACGCAGGTCGACGAGGGGAGGGGCAGGGGAGGGGGAGGAAGGGTGGACGACCTCGGCGTCGTCCTCAGCAAGCTCACCGACCTCGGCGAGCAGAGGAAGCGTTGCCGTCGAGGTATCCGTCGGCGTGGCCATCAGCGTCCGCCCTGACACAGGCCCGTGCGCCGACTTCCACTCCTCCAACGACATGTCCTCGTAGAACACCACGTCCGACGTGGTGACCACCCGGTTGGCGGCAATGTCGAGGAGCTCCCAGCCCTTGCTCGCCTCCGACACGCCGAGGTGAAGGCCCCACCTGGCCTTCGGCTTCAGCTTGCCACCACGCTGCTGCTCGGGGACGAGGAACTGCGCCATGCAGCCCCACACGCGCGCCAGCGACAAGTCGGGCTTCGTCCCAGTCAGCAGCTGGTACGGCGTCGTCCCCGGCGTGGCCGACCGCTCCAGGCAGTTGCGGATCCAGACGGCCTGCCGCAGAGCAAGGTGCCACCAGTGGTGCTGCACGCCCATGTGCAGCAGCATCGTCCGCACCGACTCCACCACCGTCCGCATCTCCCGCTCCGCCATGCCGTTTTGCTGCGGGGTGTACGGGCAGGTCAAGTCGTGGACGATCCCCTTGCCATCCACGAAGTCGGTGAACTTCTTCCCAAGGAATTCCCCGCCCCGGTCCGAGCGCAACATCAGCACCGACTTCTTCGTCTGCCTCTCCACCAACACCAGCCACTTCTGGAACTCCAGCAGCACATCCGACTTCTTGGCGACCGGCCTCACCCACACGTAGCGGGACTTACGGTCCTTCAGCAGCAAGAAGTACAGGCTGCCGTCCTTGGCAGCCACCCGGAATGGCCCACACAAGTCGATGTGGACGATGGCAAGCACGTCAGCGGCGTCGGAGCCTTGTTCGGGGAAGGTGTGCCGCGCCAGCTTCCCGCCGACGCACGAGACACACGGTGAGTCGGCGCCCGTCGCCGACTTGAGGTCCAGCCCAATGGCGACCTCGTTCTTCGCCGAGCTCCTGATGGTGTCCATGCCGACGTGTGCAAGCCGAGCATGCATCCTGGCCGGCGTCGACTTAGTCGTGGAGACGATCGCTCGCAGGG